GGGGGGGGGGGAGCATCCAAAAAAATCAAGTATATTTATTATTTTCTTGTTTCAGTACACGTTTATTATTTAACCCCTTTAGCTAGCACTGGGAATCCAACTTACTGCTCACCTGTCTAATGCCAGGGTACTTTTCTGTCATTAATTTGTCCATCTCGCTATCAAACACAATATTAACGTGGCTTTGAAGGCGAATCCAAATGTTGTAAAGTTTGTCTGTGAGGGACTGGCCTGGAAGCATACTCAAAAAGGATCGGTCCATCCCAATCGCAGAGTCTTTTTCCTGGCAAGACAACCAAGAAAACAAGCATGATGGAAAAACCTCGAAAAAACCAGGCTTGGTCTTATTGCTCTTGCTTACTCTGGCGTCAGTACACATCAACAAAATATCAACCCCATTACGTATTTCCCAGCCCATCTCTTTCCAGTAGTAAAATGAACTCAAATTTATAAGCAGGCTTCTTCCTTTCCTTTTATGCCAACACACATTTATTATCTCACAGATTCCATGTGTCAGGAATCTGGGCACAGCTTCGCCGGCTTCTGTGCTTCAGAGTGTCTCCCAGGATGTGATGCGGTCAGCCAGTGCTGGGCTCTCATCTGAAGGTTCGCTGGGGAAGGATCTAACTCTAAGCTGACATGGTTGTTGGCAGAATTCGTATTCTCAAGCTGCCAGATTGAAAGCCTCAGTTCCTAGTGGGCTGTTGGCCAGAGGCCACCTTCAATTATTTGCCATGTGGGCTTCTCCAACATGGCAGCTAGCTTCATCAAACTGCTAGCAGCAGCTGCTGAAGTCCCTTAATATCTCATTGTTAAGGCAACCCTAGAAATTCTTCCCCCACCCATACTCTTTTTATGAAACTCTGTTATCCTGCCAGATAATAGATTCTCATACAGAGTTTAGCTATATTTATGGTCTTGGAAAAGCACACAAAAAACACAGGTGTAAAACTTCTAAGAAGGAAAAAATGTTTGCCATAAGATTTTCTATATCATTAGTTAACATGGGGATCCCCAGCTGGTATATGTCGAGTGACTAGCTGATCTCCAAACCTCACTGGAATATTTAACCAATCCTTTTCTGTCCCTGACTCTACCTCAACCTCTTCTCCCAACTCCTGCCCAGGAGATAGGCCCTGAGGCCTTAAGCTGCCTTAGAGCACCACCTACTGACACTGTCTAGCTACTGACTGGCCCCATCTGGCTGGTATGACAGAGAAGGTAGGCAGATGGTCTCATGTCCCTCACTGTGGGTCAAATGAGAGAAGAAACCTGTCAGTGTGTTGGGGGAGGGAAGAGAAAGGGTGGGTGAAGATCCAGTAAGTGAGAATGTTGTGGAACCCACTGTCTTCCACCTGAGGAACAGAGGGTCGTCTTTAGTCATAGGGAGGGCAGATTAATTTCTGCTCTGGCTGAAGCAGGGAGAGATGGTCACCTGTATGATGACAGGGGCCATGTCAGCCTAACTTACTGCTATGGCATTACCTGATTCAGGGCCACGTGACTACTTATGAAATGAGACTCTGCCTCACCAGGTATCCTCAGTGCCTAGAACAGCATCTGGCCCATGCCAGGCATCCGTGACTCATGAGAGGACTGCCATGGGAATAGAATGTGGGAAGTAAGTCAGGGAACAAATAAGAACATGTCCTATTAATCAGATGAAAAGAGGGCACTGTGACTTGACATAACAAGGGCCTTAGGAATCAGAGAATGCTCTCTATTTCTTCAGAGACTCAGGGTTTTTTGTTTGTTTTACAAGGACTGCATTATTTTTAAGGGATATCAAAATAAAGGTTTTATCCCTGGTTACTGGACTTGGCTACCCTATTGCTTTCTCCTCCAAATTGACCTAGGGCCTGAAGATGGCTGATTTCTCTTAGACTTGGGATTTTTAAAAGCACACCTACACTACAGATCAGAAAACTTATGCAAAACCAAAGAAAGCCTCAAGCAGAACGGGTGGGTAACCCGGTGTGAGTGTCCAGGACAAACGGTGCCACCTGGTGATGGGCCAAAGTAATAACAGGACTGTTGCCACAGCTAAAAGGGAGCCCGAGAGCAGTCTACTCAAGCCTCAGAAAGCTCTTCCTATTTGCATCCAGACAGCAAGCATCTTAGAATTGGGAAGGACCTCAGTGACCTCAGCAAGCCTTCTTTATACTCACTGAAGACCTCACACACTGAAGGGCTGGAGAAGTGTTTGCTCAACTGGGAAAACTGAATTCAGCTCCACCATTTACTGAGGAGGAAGCAGAGGCCCCAAACCTAACTGTCCTGTTCTGGGAAGTTTCTGGAATCTATAACACTGCCTTCCTAATCCCAATGCTAGAGATCTTAATGAGCCAAAACAGAGCTGGATGGCTCAGGATCTAGCACTGTAACCCAGGAGGAACATTCTTAGAGCCCAAGGGAAGCAAACTCCTTTCCAGAGCTGCCAAGGGCAGGTGGCCCACAATAGCCTATGTATAAAACCTCAAGACAAACCACAACCGTATTATAGTAGAGATGAGTCCACAAAACTAAAGTAACTTGCCTGGCCGGGCATAGCTCGGCAGTTGAGCATCGACCTAGGATTCAGGAGATCACAGTTTGATTCCTGGTTGGGGCACATGCTCAGGTTGCAGCCTTGATTCCCAGTCGGGGGCATGCTGGAGGCAGCCAATCAATGATTCTCTTATCACGCATGTTTCTCTTTCCCTCCCTCCC